GTGTGTGTGTGTGTGTGTGTGTGTGTGTGTGTGTGTGTTTTCTGAGGTTTTCGCGGGTGTTAGTATGTAGGTCTTTGGTTATTCAGGTTTTCTCCCGCGTAAAATTGGAGGTGTCTTGGCGACGTTTCGACGAAGTCTCATTCATCATCTTCAGGCTTCGTGCTTCCAGGATCGAAACGTCGCCAAGACACCTCCAATTTTACGCGGGAGAAAACCTGAATAACCAAAGACCTACATACTAACACCCGCGAAAACCTCAGAAAACATATATATAAACATATAAACTTTAGCATGACGAACCTTGCATTAGCTAAGGCTACTATAGCAACCATAGCTTATCCTGTGCAATCTATTTTGAAAGTCATAAATTTTATGTTTCTTTAACATGGAGTTGTCACTGAAAACCTAAGTAACTACAGTTACTTCAGAACTGTTAACATCACAAGGATCGAGAGAGGTTATCAACTCCCATCTGTATTGAAACAGCTCTATTCCTTCTCAATAAGTTTCCAAATTCGGTTCAAAAGGCTGGGTTATACTTTAAAGCCCCGTATGGGTTTGGAACGGCTGCCAGCTCTTTCTGCATTCATCCACACATTACTTTGAGGCCCTGCTTGAAGCAGATCCGCTTTTGTTTCAGGTGTTAAACAGAGATAGATTGGAGAAACACACATCTTCAAAAGGGGCTGCTAAAATTTAGAATGGTCTCCAAGAAGGCCCACTTGACACACACATTATGAGGAGGTAGGAGAAACAAATTAAAATGCCAATGTTGATCGTTTTAATTCCATAAACACAACAAAACAATTATCTGTTATAAGGCTACATGTTTTATTTGACCCACACCTTTACTCTTTTTTTCCTATACTGTTCAGGTTGAACTCGAACTGAAGGCTCAAGTTATAAATTCATAAATAAACAAGAATTTATATTCTAATTGACTCAAATTATAACTCAGCAATGGAAATTTTGGACTCAATTATAGTTTTAAGTTGAGTACCACCTGTAGCTTTCCTTTGAGACTAAACACTGACTTACAGGGCGTGATCCAACAAGGCAAAACTTACACACCCCCTCTTTCTATCCCTTGGTTAATGACAATTTCTAGTGCGTACACAAAAGCATTTGCACACAGCCAAGTACAAAGCAGGGCGCCATTCTCAAGTATGGCCATATACTGTCTCCTCAACCACTACAACAGATCTGCTCTTTGTAACAAAACAAGAGGCTTATTTTCTTGTTTGAGACGTACATTTGCAGCATGGCTGAATCCCATCACTTCTCACCCGGGCTCTGAAAGGATACAGTAGAGGTTGCTATGCTTTATCCAAAGGAAGTGGACTTTTCCATGGGAGAGGACCGGGGTCAGGTCAGACTCTTCCTCTTTTTGCATGACGAGTGGCATGAAGTAATCAATCTCCGACATGCTGACATCTCCCTTATAGTTGCGGCTGATTAGTGGCTACAGTAGACAAAAGTGGTTAAACAATGTAGAATTCAAAAACAGTATGAGTACGTATGTTTGGAGTAAGCACCGGGAGAGGAGTCTTTCCTCTTACTACAGTGCAAAGCACATCTTTTCCTCCAGCTGCTTCTCAATTTAGACATCAGTTTCTGCCATTAAATTCTATAGCCTTCAGGCTATGTTGGATTGCATGTACGAGACACATTGCAGATCCAGGCCGAATAAAAAAAGAGCGATTCCATCAGTAGCAACACTGGTGGATGAGCAGATGTGCTTCCGTGTATCTGTGGTGAAAAATAGAACCATTGCTTGGATACCTTGAGGGGGAGCTTCAACAGTGGGAGCCCCAGACTTCAACAGGCCCCTTCTGTCAAGAGCCTGGGGATGGCTTATAAAAACTGCACTGTCAACTTGCAAGAACAAAAAGATCCGTAGAATGCAGGGCTTCAGACTCAATTTGAGGGCTATTGGCGGCAGCAGGATATAGCTCCAACTACCAGTACTTTGCTTAATAAAATCAACATACTATATACAGATTTGGGGTGTTTTAGGTCCACTTTCTGAGTAACAAAACAATACAGGGGGACAGCTGGTTAACTTTGTTACCTAGATACTAAGGGTAGTGGGTGCATGTATGTGAAACAGAATAAGGGGCTTGTTTAACATACAGAAAATCATAGTAATATACTAATGATAGTAGTAAGAGTGAGCAATTCTCAGCTTACATATTACTTTAATAATGTTGTTGAAATGAAACCACAATGTAGAACTTGGAAAAGGAAGGAAATAAATGAATACTGTTAATATGTTGTCTTTACCAGCTTTAAATGATAACTTTTCATACAAACTTACTCTAAAGGTTAGTCTTGCTCTCAAAAATTGCCACACATTGTAATGTTTATGCCAGGGAGAAGGTTCTGTGCTCTTGTTTTCAGCCATTCTGTTACAGAAAGTCTACCGATAATTCTTCATTGACAGTATTACTTCAAACCCTTTTCGGGCAGTGGGAGGCAACTCCACAGACCAGGCATGGAAGCTGTTTAGCCAAGTCTGCTATCCCTGAGCTGCTTCCATTTTGTTTCCTTACATGATGGGCAAATCCAGCTTCTAGCAGGATGAAAACAACTGGGCCCAGATTCCTGTTAGGAAAGGCTAAGTTTTTCAGCATTTGTGACTCCCCATCCCTGTACCACTTTCCCAGGTCTCAGCTCTAAAAGAGAAGCAGAAAACCTAACTACAGAACTTCTTGTCTTTCTTCAATTTCCTCACGCGAAGGAAAATGTAGGGAAAAGAGAATGGGTGGAGAAGGAGGCGGATGAAAAAGAAAGATCAAGTCAGGAGCTACAATCAAGGCGTCGAGGGTCTAAATCCGGACTTTTACTCCTCTTTTACTCCCCTTTGTTTCATTTGCATCCCCCCCCCCCGCGTGGGAGGGGAAAAAAGTCAGGCCCTCCACTAGGATCCTCTACCAAAAGAAGCTTTACCTGCAAACAAGCAGGAAGGCCAATATTCGTGGACCTTCGTTACTACCGAATCAAGGGGATTATTATTCTCCCGCACACGAACATCTGAAAGCGCCGGAGAGGAAGAAGCGAACCGTAGTGAGACTCACCTTCCCTTTCAGGTCAAGGATGAAGATCGCCGAGGCAGACATACTGTCGCGCCGACCTACTTCCTCCTATTCGACGGAGTTTTGCAACCACCTGAGCCAGGTGAGCCAGCTACACCTTCAGGTGAGCTGCGCTTCTTAAAGGGAAAGACCTGGTCGGGGGAGTCAGGGAAAACCTCCAACAGACAGGAAACGCGCAGCAGCCCTGGGACCTGCAGTTGTTCGAGCACGGTTACTTTCTCAAAGGAGAAGCCGGCTCCAAAGGCTGCGGGTCGGACATGGGGGGACGGGGGGGGGGGGACGGCTGGAACCGGTTCTAAACGGCACGGTAGATTTGTGGAACCTCTTCTATAGAAGAGGTTAGAACTGGCAGGAAAGGGACATAGACCCGTTTTATTTATGAGCTCTCGGGACAGCCGCGAATTCGTCACTCTTTTTCGAATCTTCTGGTCGGTTCCATTCCCGAATCTCGGTGGCAGCGAAGTGGGTTTATTGCAAAATAAGTGTCTGATAGGAGCATTTATTTTTGCGGCAACGGGCTGGATTTATACATTTGTTCTGCTGCTGGTGATTTAATTGTGGTGTTGCTTTGGCTAATCCGCAGTTGGCTGAGTTTATGCTAAAATATGGTTTGCAAACTATGTTTGCAAATTTTATATGTCACAATAAACTATAAGTAAGCCAACCATATAAAACTTGCCTTCCTCATTGTTCATACAGATCATACAGTTATTTGCTTAATGGTGACTTCTTGAATAAACTCTTATTGGCAGGGTTCAAACAACAAAAAATCAAGTCTCATTAAATCACATGATGGAAAATGAACCCCACAAGTTTATCATATGCAAAAGGCTTAAACAAAATACTGAGCCATCTTGTGGCTTATTTAAAATGGCTTATTGCATTATCTGAACCCAATTGCTGTGTTTTATAAGCTATGATTTAATGTGCCATGTGAATCCAGATATGATGTGTTTGAGTATTTGAGTATTTATTAATACTTATAGGCCGCCCTTTTCCCTGAGGGGACTCAGGGCGGCTTACATAAAATGGGGGGGGGGGGGGTATACAGACAATAGACACAACAATACATAGAAGTAAAATAATAAGCAACATTCATTCATC